GTCACACTAGGTCCATGGGCATTAGACCGATGCCAGATTGGCCATAGTGCAAGTGGGAGATTGTTGGAGTTGTGCCCTGATAGCCAACTGTTTATCGTTATTCTATCATGTATAGGCAGATATAATATGTTTACACATCTCATGCTAATGTAAACAAATATTATATTCCTAGATTTATATTTAAAAGATGTTTATCAGATAGTGTTTTTCTGCTGATGAGACTAACATCTTGAAATAAATATTTATCTAAATGTCCATAGTCGAGTATTAACGAGAGTGGGATATCGTTAATGCATGTGAGACTAGTGTGTGTTGGATGTTTGACTTAGTCTCATGGTCAATGACGGTGTGTTCGCATCCGCACATGGGCAGATATTATCTAGAGATAATAGGATGCCGGACTGACCCATTCTAAAGATGTTGCTTGAGAGCATTCTTGGTTGCTGAGTACTATCCAATCTGGAGTGTGGTGTTAAAAGTTATTTTCTAATTTCTCCATTAGATTAAATGTTTCAATTTCTTTGATCAATCAATTATAAACTATTCTTAAAATATAAAAGGATATTTTTTAACTACATATAACACTCCAAATACGATATTGGTATTAAAAAAAGTGTTTGGCTATGAAATAGAAATCATGAGTGGAGTTATTGTTTTGTTGTGTATGTTTAATATAAGTTTTTATTTAGCACTTAGTACTTTACATTCTTTATATTGAATTTGTTGCTCCATTTGGTTTCAACACATCTTCTAAGACAAATGATATGTATGGTACACACTGCACAAATAGTCTCTCTGTCCGTATTTAATCTTAATGTTTTGTCCCTATTTAATCTTAATGTTTTGTCCCTATTTAATCTTAATGTTTTGTCCATATTTAATCTTAATGTTTTGAATTATGATGTTTTTTACTCAAGTGGCTTTTAGTTCAACTTATTTCAATATTGGTGCAAAATCAATTCCCTCTATGTCATCCGTTGTAACGCCTCTTCTGGTTAATGTTCTTGCAAGTAAGTTTCATGAATCTCTTTTCGTTCTTTGGGAGTAGAAAATGCAATCTGGGTAAAGGCCACCACAGCAACCTGATTAAGACCTGAATTACATATTCTTCCTTTCCAATTTTAAATCATACCCATCAAAATGTGATGATGACACCAAACAAGAGTTAGTATGATCTACGACTCAGTCCTTGCATCATTGTGCCAAATGCTAACAAAACAGAACTTAAATCTCTGCCCAAGTGGTCGGAGAGGTTGAAAACTACACCGTAACGAGTACCCAAGTT